GATTGCCGGCTGCCACTTCATCGGCGATTTTCTGCTCGCCCCAGGGGTGTCAGTGTTCCGTGAGTGTTGGTGTTGGTGCCTGGGAATGTAACGGATCTGCATGTGTCATCAACATGCATTTCCGCTGCATTTCCCAGTGAAATTTTCCGTTTTTCTTTTGCCGGTCGGTAACACGTGGTTGTGAGTGAGTGTGTGCGTGCGCTCTCTTATTTCGTGGAGCGCTCCTTTTTTTCTCTTTTGAGTGTCCGTCGGATCGCGTTCGTCGCTTATTTCGTCATTATCTCCGGTTGTGGTATTCGGGCATGAAAAGGGTTAATTGTTTATTTTAGTGCGCGTTTATTTACATTTTATGCAACTGGTTACGGGGCGGCAAGGGACGGAAATGGCCTTCCTGAGGTGTTGCAAATAATGCAACGCTCAGGAAAGGCCTTGTAATGTACCGCATTACACAATAAAATAAAAATGTACGATGTGAAAAGTACTTAACAATAGTAAAAACTCGTGTTTTTTGCACTTTTAAGTTAGGATATCTTAAAAATCTAGGTTGATGGAAAAATTTTGATCTCAAATTCAAATTTAGCACATCTATTTCTTTCTGGTGTCTGAATATGAATATGTCGGCCTGTATAATGGTAGAATTTACTAATACGAAGGATGTTGATAAGCTAATTTTGATGTTTGCAATTATTGGTATGTACGAGTATAATTTATTATTTATGTAAAATCATGTATGATACATAAATTACGTAATTAGTATAAATACAACTCTGATAATCAGTTATATACGTGAAATACTTTAATGTAATTAAGTTAAGAAAATAGCTCACATTTCAGACGGTAGAATATGAGGTTGAAAAATGTGATATATCAATTACTCGGGTAGCCCGCACTTGATAATGTATGCCTATTATTACCTAATAGTAGCGTGCCATTTAGAAATGTCACAAATGCCCGTTATGCTTTCAACCGATACGGTAAGGCATTAGTATATCATTCACCATGACATTACCTACTATATGTACGTACTTCTGTAGCAGATCCAATTTTAGATGTTAATATGTATCTGGTAACTTTTTAGAATACGTACTTGAATTTAAATTAAGTTTACTACTGTTATAGGAAAGGATTAAGCCAGCGTGAGCATAAAAACGATGTCGCTTGGCTATGTGAGGTATTACTAAAGCTTATTCGTGCTTACTACGTGCGTATTTGAAGAACTATGTATAAGACTGTACTTAAGTCTATAACTTATCTGTAAAACATACATTTTTCTTCTCCTTCTTTAAATTTCTCTGAATAACCTATTTACATTTATAAATTTATTTTTTAACTAACGTCGAGTCCTAGAATTCCCTTTCATTTCACGAAAACCGGCAACCAAGGAAACTCCTCAGACATTACCTGCAAATTTACCATCTAATAAACATCAAGCTGACTTGTTACTTTTATTCAAAATACCTTATGCATGAGTATAACTATTACTCTTTCGCCTCATTAATACATCCTACTTCTATCGCTTATCTTCCGCGTTTAGTCCTTATAAATCCTTATAAACCTGCTCGCTTTGAACCACGCCCCTCTACATTTTAGGGTGAACGTAACCAAAGCAAGAGATTCTGAGTTAGAGCTACGATCGAGTCACTAATTTTTTTATTTTTTGTTAATATTAATAATTTAATGTATTAAAAAAATAAATCAATAATTTTAGAAAGATAACACAGGCCGACAAAATTTAAAAAATAGAACAACCCAGAAACCAGACAGTACGTTCCCAAACGTTTTTGGTGCGCTGAAACCGAATCTGACCTCAGAATTGCTCCATCGCCCTAGGTTTTCGAGAAATCCTAACCTAAAAGTTCAAAAAACACGATTTTTCACTATATTTCGTGTAGTATTACGTCGTAAGCCAATTTTATTTTAAAAAATGAGTAATGCTGTCTCTAAGTACTACTCTTACCCTTCAAAACCCTTTTTTCAGATTTAAAAAATCTTTTTTTTCCATCGAGATATCGTAGATTGAATTTGAGTGATTTAGCGATTTCGTTACAGCACGAAATACTGAATCCAAATTTAACGTCAGAATGACTCTATAATCTCAATTCTTTTAACCCTAGAGCCCCATAACCTGCGACGCTGTAACCCCTGACCGACATACTCCAAAGTCCTTAACTCTCGAGCCCTTTAACCTGCTGCGGATAACCCCCGACCCTCACACCCCAATTTCCTTAACCCTCGAGCCTTTAACCTGCGAAGCTATAACCCCCGGCCCTATCGAGGGTAAAAGAAATTCGGGTTTGGTGGACGGGGAATACCGCTGGGTCAATGGGAAAACGATAGACGTCATTTCTGCGGTAAAAGAAGGTAGAAGAATTTGTGTCTGTGATAGGAAAATTCATATCCAACTTACTTATACAAGTACAATTTACGTTTACATACAAGTGTCTATAACTTGCGAAATTGATCAGCTAGGATTTTTATCTTACATTTTTCTGGTCTACTAACGATGAAGAAAGTATCTACGTTAGCAGATATCGGATTCACTTTGGGCCTACATTTCCTTACTTGAGGATAACCGTGTATGACATTGCTCAAAAACTACAAATTTTTGTGTTCTACTCTTCATCCGTGTTAGAGATCGTGTTTGAGCGGCAGGCTAATGGAGAAGTCACTGGAATTAAATACTTTCTATTATTTCTCATATAACACTGCGAGCAGTACTTTTACTGATCTTTATTATTACTTTTTTTTTTTTTTTTTTATTTATTAGAGCATTTTCAACCCAGAAGAAGGGTTATAATGCTGAAAAAGAGAGTTACATCGAGATTTACATGGGAGTAGTATAATATACGGAGTAGTGTACAGAATAAATAATACGCTTTATAAATATATTGATGAGATACACGATAGAGCTACAGTCTAGATAGTTAATTTACAGTCGTCGAGGAACTTAACAATATGACGTGCGATTTTGGTATTACTGTTACTTAATATCACTGTACTTGAGGAAGGAAGGAGCATACTGGAGTGTTTAAGATTGTTGATGAATTTTATCCTGTGCATATCGTACAAGGGGCATTGCCAAAGGATATGATCGAGATCTTGCAGTTCATTACCGCATTCACAAATTGTATTGTTGCAAATTTTTATTTTAAACAAGGATGATTTTAAATTATAGTGTCCGGATCTGCATCGGTTAATGGTGGTAATAATATGACGCGAAATTTTAAGTTTGGAGAACTAGGGTTTAATTCTATCGTTATGAAAATTCTGAAAGTAATGTTTTCCTTTATAGGCTCCTTCTTCAGAAATTACTTCAAGTGTGTTGGTGCGAGCGGCGCTTTTAAGGTACATTTTCAGATCAGTGAAGGGGATTTTAAGGTCAGAGTCAGGATTTGACAGGGTGGATTCTTTGGCCAGGCAGTCAGCACGTTCATTTCCCTGAATCCCTGAGTGCGCTGGAATCCATACGAGATGAACTGAACTATTGTTAGTGCTTTTGATCTGAAATTCAAGGATATTTTGCCTAATTTCATAGATATATGGATTGTCTTTAACACTTAAGTGGAAATTTCTGAGGGATAGCAGCGCACTCAGCGAGTCAGTGAAAACGATTACATTTCGATTGGCGTGATTGAGAGCGTATTTAGTTGCTTCATTGATGGCTATACATTCAGCCGTGAAAATCGAGGCTCTACTGTCGAGTCTGTTGACGGTTGAAACAGAGAAAAATTCACAAATCATGGCAGCGCCTACGGAGGAACCATTAGGTGTTTTGCTCCCGTCAGTAAATATCGCATAAGCGTCATTATTGGCAATTTTATTATCTATTAAAGCATTGATATTAGCAGCTTTACTAAGCTCAAGGCCGAATTCAGTGTCAATATTAATTGGGTTGAAGAGTGTGTCATAATTGTACATATAGATATTATAGCGATTGTTTGTGTAAATAGCATTATCTATAAATTTAGAGTTTTTGATACATTTGATAAGTAATCGTCTGCTATTTTTGAGCTTACATTGTCTATGTTGAATTTTGTTGAAAATCCGCGATATGTTTTTATGTGCTAATAAACTCGGATTGGATATGACTTTGTTAATATAATTACTGCAAAGAAAGTATGCGCGTTCTTCCAGAAAGGGCAACTTAGATTCGGATAAAAGGATATTTGTTGGAGTACTGATGCGGTAGCCAAGGGCGAATCTTATGGCGGCGTATTGGACTTTTTCAAGAGCCGAGCTGTGCTCCATAGTTTTTGGATAATAAATAAAACAGCTGTAGTCAATCGTTGAGCGGACATAGCTTTTATATAGGATGAGTAGTGTTTCGGGGTCTGAGCCCCATGAGACGCCTCGTAAAAATTTTATGATATTATTGGCCCTGTGGGCCTTTTGTATAAGAGAGCGAGTATGCTGTTTAAAGGTGAGTTGGTAGTCGAAAATGATGCCGAGAAAGCGGGCAGTTTCACAGGAGTGAATAGTATTATCTCTAACTTGTATGGAAGTGTCGCCAGGTATAACACCTGACTTGTTAAAGTGAATTAGTTCCGTTTTATGGGGTGCCAGATCGAGACCGAGTTCGAAAAGATTATTGTTGATAATATCAATGGATTTTTCAAGTAATCTTTTGCTGGAGGAGAGAGGGCGACGCTTGCAGTACAGCGCAATGTCGTCGGCGAATTTAGCAATTTTAACTGTTTTGGGTAGATGATTACATACGGAGGCAATGTAGATGCAAAAAAGTATAAGGCTGAGCACACCTCCCTGCGGGACGCCCTTGCTGACTGTTCGAGTGTTTTCGCCAAGAACTTCCGCGTGAATTATTCTATCGGATGTAAGATGCTGAATGAATTTGATAAAGATCAGGGGGCAGCCGGCAGCGGCAAGTTTATCAAGAAGGATTTCGATGTTGACATTATCGAATGCGCTTTCAATATCGAGGAAAGCTGCAAGAACGTCTTTGTGCTCGGAGAAGGCTTCTTCGATCTCAAGCGTCAGGCCGATTAAATTATCGATGGTGGATTGTCCTTTTCTAAAGCCTGTTTGAAAGCTAGGGAGTATATCATTGGTTTCAGCCCACCATTGTAATTTATTTTTGAGCATGGTTTCGAAAACTTTACAGAGACAGGAGCTAAGCGCAATGGGTCTAACGCCTTTACCGTTAGGCTTGTTGATGAAATGAATGTGAGACTTTTTCCACTCATCGGGAAAGGAGCTTGATACATGTCGTTGAAAATGTCGACAAGTAGAAGCTTATATTTGAGCGGAAGTCGTTGGATGGCTTCGTAGTCGAGGCCGTCCACACCGAAAGAGGAGCGAGTGTTTTTATTGCTAAGTGAGGCGTTGAATTCGGCAAAATTGAATAAAGATTCGAGTAAGGGGTTCAATTGGCAGTTAGGCAAATTGTTGGGATCGTTTGCACACCAGCTAGGGCTGATGCGGTCTAAACAGTCATTAATAAGTCTGAAGTTCTGGTGGTTTTCGTGGGAGCTATTGGGAGTGATTTTGATCCATTTATTTTTCAAAAGTTTAGATTTATTCCAGACGTATGTTTGATTAACGCTGAAGTTGAGCGATTCAGCAAAATTTCGAAAATTGGCTCTTTTTTTTGTCTTAAACGTCTTACGGGCCAGAGCAGAGGCTTTTTTGTATTCAAAAAAGTCTAGCTGATTTTTGGAGAAACGCCATTTTTTGAAGGCAGCTCTTCGTAGTCTTATGACTTTGTCGCAATCATAATCCCACCAGGACACAGGGTTCCTATGGACTTTGTTATTCACGACTCTCTTTACCGGAGTGTTTGTCTTAATAGCGTTGGCTACTACGTCAGTGAAAGTAGAGTATTTGTAATTTGGTTCGGCATTTACAAAATCGTAACTAAGAAAATGAACGTAGTTGTTATCAAGGTAGCTAGTAACTTTAGCCCAGTCAGTGCGAGTTGATTTTACGTTAAATGTTTTTTTGCGATATGTATTTTTATTAATGTGAACGTCGATGAATATCGGGAAATGGTCGGAGCCCCAAGTTTCGTCGTTTACTAAGACATTGATTTTATCAGCAACATTATTTGATGAGAAGATTAAGTCAAGATTGGAAAAATAGTTAGAGTTATTGCGAATATAAGTGTGAGAGTCGAAGTTATGCAGAAATGTGTCGGAATTGGTATGAGCTAAAAAAAGACATTCACCATTGTTATCACTGTCGCCACAATTCCAAAAGGTATGGTGAGCATTGAAATCTCCCATCACAATCGTTTTTTGGTTAGGATTAATGTTATTAAAAATTGTGTTCCACTCATTCTGCGTATGATCGGAACCCGGGGCTCTGTAATAAGTATGACAAACGATTTTAGGAGTAATATTAGTGATTTCAAAGGCTAGTAGTTCGAACGCTTGACTGGGAGAGACTAAGTTATGGATCTGGACATAAACTAAATTATTTGTGATAAAAATTACGATGCCACCGCCTTTTTTGTGCATGCGGTCTATCCTTATAGTTTTAAAACTGGGAAAATGTAAACCTTTGTCTTGATCATTTAACCACGATTCAACGCACACTAAAATGTCGATCTTTTGTAGAATCTTGGGGATTTCTTCTATTCTTGCTCTGATGCTACGACAATTCCAAAAAACAATCTTTAGATCTTCAGAGATGATTTCCGCCATTATGAATTATAATTTTCAGATTCGCTTCCGGATTCGTCGTCAGTTCTACACGATAGGCTCAATTTTTTAGACAATCTTTTGCATCGAGCTTTGAGCTTAGCGTCAGTGATAAATTCCACCGAAGCGCTGACCATTTTTTGAAGAACTTTGAGGTCAGAGGTGAAGGTTTCCGCAATTTCTTTGATGTTGCTTTTACCGTACGTATATACAAGGAACTTTTGGTATTGTGAAAAGTCGAGACAGTACGCGGAAGGGTTGGATGTGATTTCCTGCTTGATTTCTATTAGGGCAGTGTCGATATCAGTGGCTTCCATCTCACTAGAGGAGTTATCTTGCGAAAAGGAGTTTTTGATTTTTTTCTTTGCAGGAGGCTTGATCTGCTCTTTAGAATTTAGGTTCGAAGAGTGAGTAGGCTTGGCTGAATTTCTGCTCTGTTTGGGAACAGTCGTCGTAGAAGCAGTAGATTGACTAGAGAGAGACAGAGGTCTTTTCGCAGTGTTTACTAGGGCAGCGGGATCTGTCGATTCGCTTGATTGGTTAGCATAGTTCATCATATCAGTAGAGTCCCCATGCTCCGACGTCGACGTCGAAGTCGGTGTTAAAGAGGGGGTATCCATAGGCGGTGATGGTGGAGAAGAGGAATTCTTCGGACATTGCTTAGCTATGTGCCCCGGCTGGTTACAAACAAAGCAACTGGTAGAATCGGTGCTGAAATATATCCAATAGTTTGTGTTGTTATAATTTATCGGTAGCGATTGAGGTAAGAGAGATTCTTCGCCTTCTTTGATGTACACTTGTCTACGAAACGAGAGAATATGAGCACGGCCGGGTTTGCTCGTGCTTGCTCTGATGAACTGAACTTGCGAGACAAGATGTATGCCTTTTCCGGTCAGCGCATCGATAATAACTTGGTTTGGAATAACCGGATTGACGTTTGAGATCACCACTCGTTTGTTTTTTTCGATGAGAGGGCGGATACTGAGACTATGTTCTTTAACTTGTACTTTTTGATTATCAAGACTTTCGACAGATGCTTTTGAAGTGAGAAAAACACAAACACGACCGCCGGAGATTTTGGACATGAATTTGATGAGGCTTACATCGATTAGTTTTTCGAGGCCATCAATATAATCATCGATAGAGAGACCGTCAATAGCTTCGATCACAATGGCGTGCTCGCTTTTTGGTTGGTAGATGGTTTGTGCGTAGGATGGGAAGTTAGCTTTTTGGGTAGAAGAACTTGAGTTTTCCGCAAGGCCCCCTGTTATGGAAGCCATTGCTAAAGAGTTATGCAGTTTGGAAAACTGCGAAAAGCACACAAAAGTAAAATGTAACTCCGAGTGTATACTGAGACCTCAACGTAGAGACGTTTACATATCACTACACTACACTAGGCTAATGTAAACAGAGATCGCGACACACGTCTGCTCGTTATGACTGCGAAATTACAACTGCTATTATTACTTTGTCTTCTAGAAATTTAATTATATTTACCCATTTCGTTATTAGAATAAGTTTATAATATTACTCGTGATTTCCGATTAACTTATAAGTTATTGAAGATGTCGGCATGTAGAATTTCATGCAAAGGAAAAATCGATTGCTTTTGTAATATCTGCGGTAAATTTGAGGTAGCTCGACTTCGTCGATCAATCACTGATATCATTAAAGATCAGTTTGAAGAATGTTACGAGACACCTATGAAGAATTTAGACAAACCATGGGTTCCTAAATATATTTGTGAAGACTGTCGCCGAAGTTTGAAAAACTGGAATAAAACTAAAACCGAAGTTGTTCTCCAACCAACAATATGGCGTGAACCTAAAAATCACCATGATGACTGTTACTTTTGTAAATGTGATACTTTAGGTTTTAATCATAATAACAAAGCTTCTCTCTTTTATCCGAACGTTTCTAGTGTAACAGCAGCTCAGTATGGAAAAATAGAAAGAAAAAAAAAATTTTGATTCTGAGCCAAAAAAACTTCAACCAATAGAAGTTCCGGTAACAGATAAAAGCAGCAGTAGTGATGAAGAAGATTTTTCTGACTCAGAAAAGCCCAAACTTTTCGACCAAAATTCTTTGGATGATCTGATCCGTGATTTGAATTTTCCGAAAGATTCTTCAGAACTCTTAGCTTCAAGACTAAAAGAAAGAAATCTTTTATTACCTGAGACAAAATTTTCTATTTACAGGAAGAGAGATATTAAATTTCGGCCATATTTTACTTGCGTGGATAACCTTGTTTACTGCAACGATATAAAGCATCTCATTAGTTTATATGGAGTGCAAGGAGGTTATAATCCAGAAAACTGGCGACTCTTCATGGATGCATCTGTACAAAGTCTCAAGGCAGTACTTCTGCACAATGGGAATGAGTATGCAGCTATTCCCATTGCTCATTCCACTGTGATGAAAGAGTCTCACGATAACTTTCAATTCCTTCTTGAGAAAATCAATTACAATGAACACAAATGGCTCGTTTGTGGCGATTTCAAGATGATCAATATATTAGTTGGCTTGCAATCTGGAAATACGAAGCACCCCTGTTTTTTGTGTCTCTGGGACAGTCGTGCACGAGAAGAACATTGGGTTCGGAAAGAATGGGCGAAAAGATGTTGGATCACACAATGTCGTCCATGAGAACCTTGTTGATACTAAACATATCTTGTTACCTCCACTCCATATAAAACTGGGCTTGATGAAGCAATTCGTCAAGGCACTAGATAAGGAAGGCGAATGTTACAAGTATCTTCAGGGCAGATTTCCTAAATTGTCTGAAGCGAAAATTAAGGAAGGCATATTTGTAGGGCCAGACATTCGAGCACTTATGAAAGATGATGAATTCCTCTTGACAATGACGACTAATGAGAGAAATGCTTGGATAAGTTTCAAAAGTGTCACCGAGAATTTTCTCGGAAACCACCGGGACCCTAAATACAAAACTATTGTGTCGACAATGCTACAGAATTTTCAAAAATTAGGGTGTTTGATGAGCCTGAAAATGCACTTTTTGTTTTCACATTTGGAATACTTTCCGGACAATATTGGGGCGTTCAGTGAAGAAATAGGTGAAAGATTTCAAGATTTCAGAAACAAAGAGGAACATTATCAAGGTAGATGGAATGAGAGCATGATGGCTGACTATTGCTGTGCTCTACACCGATACGATACATTGACAGATCATCATAGACGCAAATCTCTTAAACGTTCATTTCAAGATAAACGACAGCGTTTTCATAAAAAAAAAGAAGTGAAAAACTGTAGGATTGCAGATATTCAGATGCAACACTCACAAACTGAATAAATGAGATTTAAAAGGCGTAATTGAAAGCTGCGTAGAATACAAGGCTTGGATATTGAAGAGATTGAAATGTAGAGACATACGGTTATACGATAGCAGCTTGAAGTGCTGATTGAGGAAATTCTGGCAAAGGAGTCTGAGGTTGCAGACTTGCAGGGCTCGGGGGTTGAATATAATTTGGAGGCTTGAGGTATTCTGCGTAGCGAATTTCGGTATGAGGGTTGGGGGTTATAGCGTCGCGGTAATAGGGCTCGAGGGTTGAGGAAATTGGGGTGTGAGGGTCGGAGGTTATAGCTTCGCAGGTTAAAGGGCTCGAGGGTTAAGGAAATTGGGGTATGTTGGTCAGGGGTTACAGCGTCGCAGGTTATGGGGCTCTAGGGTTAAGGGAATTGAGATTATAGAGTCATTCTGACGTTAAATTTGGATTCAGTGACCCAAAAAACATATAATTACACAATAACTCCTTATTCGGAAATTCGCTACTATTTCGTGCTGTAACGAAATCGCTAAATCACTCAAATTCAATCTACGATATCTCGATAGAAAAAAAAAATTTTTTAAATCTGAAAAAAGGGTTTTGAAGGGTAAGAGTAGTACTTTGAGATAGCATGACTCGTTTTTTAAAATAAAATTGGCTTACGACGTAATACTACGCGAAATATAGTGAAAAATCGTGTTTTTTGAACTTTTAGGTTAGGATTTCTCGTAAACCTAGTGTGATAGAGCAATTCTGAGGTCAGATTCGGTTTCAGCGTACCAAAAACCTTTGGAACGTACTGTCTGGTTTCTGGGTTTTTTTCCTTGTCGGTTTGTGTAATTTTTATGAATAACCTAAAATAGAAATCATTCATCGGTACTATAAATATGCAGAAAATCATATTTCTAGTTATTATGTGATCCCTACGATGATTTCTAGATTCTCGTTCAATAATATATTAACAATTTTTATTCTATAATAAAATTAATATTAAAGCGAGTAATTAGAGTAATAATAAAATTCATCAAATACATTGATTCTTTTTTGTATCTTCTGTTGTTTTAACAGCATTCACCTAGATATTTCTTATACATATATTTAATTTTTCGATATTTATATGATTACCTTATTCATTAAATTATTAATTAGGTGATACAAATTTATTTTGAACCAGTGATGTTTACATTGGTCAAAGGCAATTTTTCTACAAAATTATTTTAATTTGAAGTAAATTACGAAACTATTTTAATATAAGATAAATATTAAGATTAATATGCTCGAAGACATTAGTTCAGAATAAAAAATGCCTTTTAACATAACATTCTATTAGAAATATATCTTTTATTTCATTTTATATCACCTAATTTTGTCAAAAATAGAATTAAATAAAGTTTTCTACAATCAATTAATGTTTCAAATCAACACATGATATATAATACGTAACGAATTTTCCAAAATATAAAGAAATTTATTATAATGTTAAGGTGCATTAGATTCAGAGAAATATAGAAATATTTGTCATAGAAATTTATGGTACACAGTTGATTGAACAGATTTTAGTAGTTATTTTGTTATATAAATCATTTTCAAACAATTTTTTCGATCTTATTAATACAATTTATAGGTGATAGTATATTTATAAATCATTACAAAGACTGCTAATACATGGATTTGTGTGTATGTGTGCACAAATGTATATATTTGTAAATTGCTTGCGAATTGGCAGCGGTTCAGTACAAAAATTGTAACTGTCAGAGCAGTTATTCTGAGCTCAATTATGAGCTCTTTTATATTTTATCTAGTTTTTCAAATCACATCAGTTCAAGTTAAATTGGGTAAAATATTTTCCTGTCTTATGTCACTTTTAAGTTTGACAAATTCCTTGGCAACTTCATCGTTGTTTCGCTGGGACAGAATCCTCAAAATTGTCCATCCTGTCTCATCCATTTGAATACGTCTACCTAATAAGATTGATCGTATACACGATCCTTGTTCTACTATATCTTTTAGTTGGACGACAGTAACTCCTACAAGACGATCATCTCGAGCAAAGCAGTAATCTTTCACACAAATATGTAGTTCGTAAAAATTAAGCTGTTGATCACTCCCAATGGTACTGAAAAAAATATATGAAATATATTAATGTCATTATATATTTAGAATAAGTACCATGAATGCATTAAATATTTTTATATAAACAATTATTTTTTAATGAGTTATTATTCATCCATAGTAATCAAGTTTAATGATATTTACAAGATAATAACTATGGACGTCACCACGATTCTTAATTATAAGTCATATTTCTTATATTTATAGTGTGTTTTACAATTGGACCTCTATTGTGGTAATGACTTTTTCCGATATTAAATTGAACCTATTAACTCATCTCAACGTTTGAAAGATAAAATTTTTTTGCAAATTTCACTTACAATTAGATTTATTACAAAACAAAATGAAATTTATATTTCGAATTAGCGATTGCAACTTATATATTTAGGATACTAGTGTTATTCAGCGTACTTAATGCGCTCTTATTTTTATGTTTTCTAGTTATTTATTACATTATTTGAAGCTCTTATGTCAACATAGAGATTCTAATGGGCACGGCTAACAAGGGAACGTTCCCAATTCTCAACCTCCGATTTTTCTAAAATTGAGATATTATAGTTTACAAAAAAATAAAAGACCCATATTTTTTTTATCAACGGTAAAAGCTATTTAGAGAATGACACCCAGCCCCAAAAGTCAGCCTTAAAAGCAGTATTATAGCAATATCTGTAGTTGTAATGAATATATTCAATTAAACTAAAAGGAACAAACTTCTTATAAAAAAAGTAACAGAACCACATGAATTTTGTCCGAAGGTTGCAACCCCTAAATTGTATAGAGAAAACATGATATTTTTAAGTGTATTTTTAACCTACTATTTTTAAACATTTTTTTTAATTAAAAAAGAATATTAAAAAAATTAAGAAACTAATTTTTTAGAAGAAAATGATAAAACGAAATTTACTTGTTTTGGCGTTTTTTTATTATACGAGGTGTGTTCAAAAAGTAACGAGAATTTTTAAATTTCGCGGGTTTGGAGAGTCCGCTTGTATAAAATTTTTTTTTATTATGTTGGTACACATACCCCTGAAGTACGATAAAGTTTTCAGCAATATTCATTGCTTACTTTTTAAGTGGCAGTCGCTAACGTTAGACGTGTTTTTCGAGCTCGGCGATTTTCGTTTGTGAAAAAAAATGGATCAAAGAATTTGTATTAAATTTTGCGTAAAAAATGAAATAAAGTGTAGTAAAGTTTGTCAAATGTTAACAAAGGCATATAGTGAGTCTGCTATGAGTAAAGCAAGGATTTATGAGTGGTATAAGCGTTTCCAAGATGGCCACGAAAACGTTGAAGATGACGAACGACCCGGACGCCCAAGCACATCAACAACCGATGAAAACGTGAAAAAAGTGAAAGAAATGGTTATGAACGATCGCCGAATCACAATCAGAGAAGTCACTGATGATGTTGGCATATCAGTTGGCTCATGCCATCAAATTTTTTCGAATGTTTTGGGTATGAAACGTGTGGCAGCAAAATTCGTTCCAAAATTGTTGAATTTCGAACAAAAACAGCGGCGAATGGAAGTTGCTCAGAAGTCGCTAAATGAAGTCAATAACGATGCAGAACTACTAAAACGTGTTATAACAGGTGACGAAACATGGGTTTACGGATATGATGTCGAAACTAAGGCTCAATCGTCCCAGTGGAGGCATTCTGGATCGTCAAGACCGAAAAAGGCTCGACAAGTGCGGTCGAATGTGAAGGTTATGCTCACTGTGTTCTTCGATTTTAATGGCATAGTGCATTATGAATTCTTGCCACAAGGTCAAACAATCAATAAGCAGTACTACCTACAAGTTCAACGTCGTTTGCGTGAAGCAATTCGAAAAAAACGCCCGGATTTGTGGCAAAACAATTCATGGCTTTTGCACCACGATAATGCGCCTGCTCACACTTCATTGCTTGTTCGTGAATTTTTGGCCAAAAACGAAACTGTAACGATGCCTCAGCCTCCATATTCGCCAGATATGGCTCCATGTGACTTTTTTCTATTTCCAAAAATAAAGAGAACATTAAAAGGCCGTCGTTTTACAAGCATAGATGACATTAAAAGCGAATCGCTGAAAGAGCTAAAAGCTATTACAAAGATCGAGTTTCAAAAGTGTTTCGAGGATTGGGAAAAGCGTTGGCATAAGTGTATTGTATCCGAAGGGGACTACTTTGAAGGCGACAACATTAATGTAGATGAATAAATAAATATTTTTTTCATAAAACGAAAATTCTCGTTATTTTTTGAACACACTTCGTATAATATTTCGATTGTGAACTACCTCTAAACGTTATTCTTACAATATAGGCAATTGTTAATCGTAAATTATGCAGGTTATTTCATGTGCTATGACGCTCTAGTAAGCGAAAGACATGTACACTTTTGTTTTACAGAATGAACTATTGAAAAAGAAAGTTACCCCTGAAATTCATCCTCAACACATTTTGTAACGAATTCTGCATCATTACCAATTTTTGGGTGGGCAAGTGAGGCTCTCTTGCTCAAAGCAATCAGGGAAGAGGAAGGAAAATGATCGGGAAATGAAATAATATCGCGCTTCAGAAAACCATTAAATCAGTTTATCGAATTATATTGACACAAACTATATAAACCTTAAACACGAATGAACATAACGGAATTATTATCATATACAACACACAAAAGAAACGGAAGGACAAATAAACTAAAATTACCTGCGCTTACACAATATTAACGATCAACGGAATGTGTCGCCCGGCAGGTAATCGCCTTGGCGACAAACCGATTTAGCCTAATTACGCTAAACGAAACCGCCCGGCAAAGGATTACCTGAACCGATCGCTACCTTACATTACTACACTAGCCGTGTAATTATCAGCAGGTAGCCGGCGCGCTAACGCCTTGCCACCTACTTAACTCTTACACACATGTGTCATACCGCCAAAGAGATAGCGAAAGAATAAAAAAGAATGGCCTTGACCTTTACTGTGCGGGATGTTGGGGAAGCCTAGCTGCGCCCTATGAATGGTGCTGCTGGCCGTCTCTGGGTAAATTCCTAGCCGGCTTCTTCCCGGTAGCGTTCCTCGCAGAGGTGCTGGTAAAGGGCACTAGTATTTGTCGTGCTTTCCCTCGTCTCCGTAGCTTTCGACTTAACTCCTTGCTCCTTGGGGTGGCGTATGCGTACACGGCTGACTGACTCGGCTAACTCTACTCTGCTAACTAGCATTAGTTCTATAATTATATAATTTTTTTTCTTTCGACCGAAGTTATTCATTCCAATACTTTTGAGTTGATGAGTTTGTATCGGTAAAGAAAAGTACAGATCAACTTTTGGCTAAAACCATCATTACAACTAATCACTATAAAAAAAACCATCTTTTTGGTATGTCGTTGTTAGTATCGATAGCCAAAGTAAGAACCTCGGAAAAGCAGGTTATTTGAAACCAAAAATTTGCCATTCTAATTCCAATATCCCACCATAGGATACATTTTCAATGTCATTTTTGACAGCGAAAAACGTATTTTAGCGTAAAAAGTGTTGTTACAAGCCCTGTTATTTTTGCTCGGTCTTTCAAAAAATGTCAACGCCTTACATGCACTGCCGCTCACGTACTTTTACCCCTTTAAGCTCTTTCCAAGAGCTTTCAAGTGATATTTATCATGAGTATAATCAAATAGCTTTCCTAATTTTGTTAAACGTTTACTCATCGATGAAAATTCCGAAATATTAAGTACATTTTTTATCTCTTGTAAATTCTAGGGCAAAAATTGTAGAAAAATCATGAGTACAGAATATTTTCCTGTTTCAAAATCCTACCTGAATCTCTCATTTAAAAATTATTTACATCAAATATGATCCGCGTTTGAGCATTTTTTTCAAAAATTTACGGTTCTTCTGAAATGTTCATAATTCAAATCTTAGAAAAAAATGTACATGAAAGAAAATGTTTCTTTTTCTATGTAGAATATAGTGGAATTTTCTCAAATTTTTTTTCGAAAAAAAAAAAAAAAATTTTCGTCTTCTTTTACTAAATAGTTGATGCAGAAAAAAATAAAAAAATTGTCTGAAACATGATTAAAATAAGAATTACGTGTAAATAAAATTGCGATAGCCCTCTTCAGCTAAAAAAAACGATAACACATCGTATTCAATTACTCAACATAAAAATTATAATTTTCAAAAACTTTTTTTTTCCCTTTTATTTTCGTTACAAAAACATTATTTGTTAATAAAAATAATAATACTGTCAGGATTCGAATTAAATTGCATTTTTATCGGGAATTTTATTTACTTGAAATAATAAATTTACATTAAATATATTTAGCTGAAATTCTACAAATATTAACATTATCGTCTATTTCATGTTGATGGATAGATGGATGGATGGATTGAAAAAAAAATTACGATAAAAAAAAGAAAAAAATTGTTTTTCTTAAAATGGAATTTTAATAGTAGATACTTATTTTTCTTGAAAACATAAACACATTTTTTTATCTAAGGAGTTTTTTTCTACGATATACACATTCGAAGACAGACGAAGTTGAAAAAAGATTGATTTCAAAAATGAAACCAGCGTAACTTTAGATCGGCTCGATAAAAAGAATTTTGTTGAACTTATTTTAAAGAGGAGGCAAATACATATCCATTCCATCTTCTTTTCAAAAAATCTGCAGACTCCTTCAAAAGTTATAAAGTGTTTTTTGCGGTTTGAAAAAAGTGAAAAAATGTGATCCAGTTTTTTAGTGTAAAAAATGCTATTCTCAGTTATTTAAAAAAACTAGTGAAATATGAAAAGTATTGCTTTACCCTTTCAAATGAGCCTCCGCGGGTTCACCTACGACTATTTTCGAGCGAGCTACTAAACTTTGAATTTTTGATAATTTCGGTATAGGCTGGCCAAAAACTTATGCACGCAACTGTATAGTTAAAGTGGATAAATGCTCTGTACAAACCAAAAATAACACAAGATATCTCGATTAGCAAAAATAGAGGTGCGACAACTAGAATTTATGTAATGAAAATTAAGCTTTT